GGCAGGATCCTTGTACTGGCCTATGTCCCCCTTCCTCTCCCTGCATCACCCCCGGGCCAGCAGCACTTTGAGTTACAACGGGACCACGTCCGCCTACCCCAGCCACCCAATGCCCTACAGCTCAGTGTTGACTCAAAACTCCTTGGGAAACAACCACTCCTTTTCCACGTCTAATGGGTTAAGTGTTGATAGACTAGTCAATGGAGAGATACCTTATGCCACTCATCACCTCACAGCAGCAGCTCTGGCCGCCTCAGTGCCGTGTGGCTTGTCAGTTCCCTGCTCCGGCACCTATTCCCTAAACCCCTGCTCTGTAAACCTCCTAGCAGGACAGACGAGTTACTTTTTCCCCCATGTTCCTCACCCTTCAATGACTTCTCAAAGCAGCACTTCAATGACGGCCAGGGCAGCCTCCTCCTCCACGTCGCCACAGGCGCCCTCCACTCTCCCCTGTGAGTCCTTAAGACCTTCTTTGCCAAGTTTTACAACGGGACTTTCCGGAGGACTTTCTGATTATTTCACACATCAAAATCAGGGGTCTTCTTCAAACCCTTTAATACATTAACATCCATGGGATCAGACTGTAAGTGAACATTTTACACACATTTGAATTGTAAATGATAATTAAAAGGAAAAAAAGCAAAACAAAAAGGTCCAGGTATTTTTTATTAAGTCCCCCATTTTCTGTACGTTTGTTCAGTCTTTAGGGTTGTTTATTATTCCACCAAGGTGAGGAGTGTCAGCAAGGTGCAATGTGGGGAGATTACATTGTAGACTATGAAGTTTGGAAGACAAAATTATAGTAGAATGTGTATCTAAATAGTGACTGCTTTTGCAATTTTTTATTCAAATACGATAAGTCTATCACTGAAAGCCGCCAGATTCTCCATGTTTGCAGTATTATAAGTTATCATGGATATGTCGGTGGGTGCAGACCTTGAAAGAAAAAATTAGCCACCACTAAATTTATGAAAACTATCAAATCTTAAAACGTAATTTGTATTTAAGCAGCATTAATACCGAAAGATGCCCAAGAACTACATTTTGGCCATTTATTATTTTCTCCTTTTCTTTACTGAACTGTTTTCTTTGGGGTTCTTTTTTTTTTTTTTCTTTTTTTCCTTTTTGGGTCGTTCGTTTGTTTGTTTACTTTTAGACCAAAGATTGGGTTTTAGAAAATGCACTCAGTGTATGGAGTAATTTAAAAAACAGCAACATTATTTCAGTTTGCAGCACTGCCCGTTCAAATGAATCAGAAGGGGACAAAATTAATGATTGCCTTCAGTTTGTGTTGTGTATATTTTGATGTATGTGCTCACTAACAGGTCACCTTTATTTTTTTTTCTAAATGTAGTGAAATGTTAATACCTATTGTACTTATAGGTAAACCTTGCAAATATGTAACCTGTGTTGCGCAAATGCCGCATAAATTTGAGTGATTGTTAATGTCGTCTTAAAATTTCTTGATTGTGATACTGTGGTCATATGCCCGTGTTTGTCACTTACAAAAATGTTTACTATGAACACACAGAAATAAAAAAATAGGCTAAATTCATATATACTTGATAGTTTTTTTGTCTCTTTCATTAACTAAAATTAATATGCCAGAGGCTTTAAAGTTACAGGGCGATCAGAGTGCTGCTTATTACAGCAGTCCACCATTTTTCACATGTTCCTTCCTCCCTCCCTCTCCCCCCCCCCCGATTATATTGTCTTTAACAACAGTATTTTCAAATGTAAAGGATCAGGGTATTTAATTAAACCCACGGCCGCTATTGTGATGTCCGTTTTGGGACAGAACTCTTATCAAGTCTGCTTTAAAAATTGTTAGTACGAGGTAGGATGTCTTACTAAAAATTCTGCCTTAAGTTGAAGATGCTTAAAATTGCGTACATATATATATACATATGTATACGTACATATAAATTTAAGTATATATGCACGCATTGGAAAAAAAAACTGGTTTTTATCTGTTACATAGGTACGTGTTGTTCTTGCAATCTCTGAAATGCATTCAAAGAATTATTCTTCTGAAAGCAATTGATTTGGTCTCCGTGATAACTGGAGATCTATTAACTATGGATGTGTATGTGTGTGTATATATACACATATACATATTAGCTTTCATGTAGTCATTTGCTCAAATTTAATAAGCTACGATTCGTATGTGTATAAATTGCAATCCTTGCCTTAAAGGAACACTGTGCCGGAAGTATCTATGCCATACGTACTTATATATACTTCTAATGCTGCAAACACTTTGGCTTGAAATGTTGTAAAAGTAGCACTAGTTTTTCAGCTGGAACCTCTCTCCTCCGCCTCTTTTCGCCCTCCGGACGGGGAAGGAGCCGGGTAGGGGTGAGGTGAAGTCGCGGTACAGCGCAGCGAGGCAGAGGGCTGCAGGGGTCACGTGACGCCCTGCCTTGCATACCGATGTTTAAACGTTTGGGGGGGGGGGGAGATCAAACAAAAAAAGCACCCAACAGACCCCAAACCTGTGTGGATGCACTTAAATTTAAAGTTTTGAAACAGAGCTCTTTTTTCACTCTGCTTGCTGCAGCCCACTAACCCAGGGAAACGTCCCTGAGGGTGCTCCGTTTCCCAGAGAATAGATCCATTAGTTTTAAGGGAGCAACGCTGCGACTGGTTTTAAGAAGCATTTAATCCAAAAAAGAATTGGTTTCTTGATGAGTTTAGGGAAGCCTATAAAAGCCGCAACTCTTGAAAATAATTAGAAAACTTGTGCAAAAGGTTTAGGAACTAATTGGATCCCGCGGTGAGTCCGCAGAGGACAAGTTGTTCATTTGTTACGTTTGTGCAGTCTAAACCGGGCTCTGCAGCAGGGCAATAAGCCGGCGGCTGCTCACAATAGGCCCAAGGAAAAATAATCTCTAGGTCGGAGATGTTATCGCAAACACTTTAAAGAGCTCGTCTTAGAAAGACAGAAAACAGGAAGTAAAAAGGAAAAGAGGAAAACAAAACAAAACAAAAATGCCGGGGGCTGGATAAAGAAGCAATAGCAAATGTGAATTCTTGCAAACAGAATATTTGTCATACTGAAAGAATAAGGGGAGGGAGGGGAAATCTTCCAAAAATAAGCAATAAATAAACAGATGCAATCATATCTGCAGGAAAGAGAGAGGAGTGAAAGGTTGTGGATGAGAGATGGGACACCCAGCTCTGCACTGTGTGGGGGAGAAGGAGAGAAATCTCTGATATTCTTGGCTTTCACTCTCACTTCTGTAATTCAAAATTAATCATCACTATGAGAAAAAGGTTGCTTTGTTTGGGGATGAAGAGATGATACCACCACTTGGAAGCGCCTACCCTCCCCCATATTCATCACTCTATTGTCATTAAAAGGAGTGATCGCAAAAAACTTAAACCCAAAACTCCTTTGCAACAGTGCTATCGAAAATACTAAAATGAAATAGGTGTGATTTAAACTCTGAAAGCCTCGAGACCTCATTCTGTATAGTTATGCCTAAGCAAGTTAAAAGAATGGCATCTGCTGCAGCTGACAAAGGAAATGATTTATTATTTACCACTTGCAATTGGTTGTATACTGTAGGAAATCCAATAGCACGTACTTAACGTATTATTCATTTCACAATGTAAAAACATCCACTGACAGTGTACTAAAAGGAGGAAAAAGATAAGTCAGGTTGGAGGAAAGCACAATCTCGCCTTGTCAGAGTTCGAGGTTGGCTAATAAGCATTAATTAGATAAGCGTGATGCGTAATAATTCCTGAAAAGGGTAGTCCTGATGTATGGTCTCTCCAGACTTCGTTTCTGCAAGCGGTCGCTCTCAATGCTCTCCTTTGCGTTCAGCGTAGCAAAGTGCTGCCTAAGCAGTTCAGGTGCCACAGACTTTTCCCTCTTTCTTTTACACTGGGGGAAGGGGTGGTTGTTGATCTGGTAATTTATTCACGTTTCCGCACACATATTACAAGCAATGAGACTGTCTTCGTAAAGGAAAAAAAAAATGCTGAAGTTGTCATGGATTGTAGCAGGACTGCCAAGGCCCCGAATATGCCTTTACCTTTTTCTGCTCCCCATCCAGAGAAACCCTTTTGTTCGCTGAGGATGTCTTTTAGGCTGATCTCTGCACAGGCTCGTTCGGTACTGAATGTGAGGTGGTGGGTTTTGTTGAGGATTTTTCTTCTTTTTTTTTTTAATTTTTTGTTTCTCTCTTTTTTTTTTTTTTTTTTTTTAAGCAAGCAATAATTCTATTCTTTGATACTTGTTTCTATGGTGGTTTATATGTCAAACCCTCCAGCTAAGCTTTTAGGATTTTTTTTTTTTAAATATGGATTTCCAGAATGTTGTGGTGTCTTAGCGTGGTTTCTTCAGAGTTTCCCAATTTAGAGTGTTTATGGGGGACGGGTGGTCTTTATGGAATTAAGGAGCTATTGTTATTTTCCTTGTTGATGTTTGAGGTGATTAACTTTGCTCGCATAGATCGTAAGAGAAGAAATCCGCTCATCAAGAAACCTCCAATTACGATTTTAAGATTGTCTTCGCAAACACGTTTGAGAGATAATAAACTGTAACGCTAATCCACAATGGGATGTTTAGCCAACCAATTTTTGACATATTTTAAACATTTTTCTTTTGTTTCAGTAAAATAGCATCCGTTGTGTGGAATGTATTCTTACGAAAGCGCTTAAAAGAAAGTGAACAATAATATATTTTGCTTTAAATGGCACAAAACTACTGTTTGGGGGAGTGATAATTTTTTAAATCTGCTACTTGAAAAAAATAATTTAACCGGGACGTCATTTTGCTCTTTATAACTTTTTCTGATGATTATTAAGATTTATGTCAGAAATTATGATTCAGGTACACACCCCCTCACCACTTGTGTTAATATGAGGTCTCAATCACCACGTATTCACTGTTCACTCAAGCAAAACTCCCACTGAACTCCGGTTACGTTTTGACTGAACCACGTCACAGTTTTGCTTAAGAAAGAACATTGAACAAGACTCACTGCTTTGTTAGTGACTATATTATTTAATTGTCCGTATTTTCCCTTAGGACTGGGGGAAAAAACCACAATTGCCTGTAGGTAGTCACGGCTACGTACTTAATTGTATAATCACGAATAATACACCAGCCCAACAAAGAAAGTACATGAGCATACGTATTGCACGACTACGAATTCAACGAATAGAAATAAATATGTATACATACGTACAGACACATGCGACCCTACAGAGGGGTCTATCCACGCACCAGTGTCTGTAGTAGCTTCTCGGCAGTTTTGTGCTCTACTAGGTTCTTGTTTTGAATACCTGCCCCCCGCCCTCCCCTCCCCGTGGTGAAGGTGCCTGGGTAAACGGGTCAAAAAGTGGTGGAGAACTGGGTTAGCAAGAGGTGAAGGTGAAGATCATTAGAGGTTTTAGGGCTGGCTGTGGCTGTTTTGCTGGGTTTATGTGACTGTGCCCAGAGGGCGGAGTTCCTGCACATTCCTACCTCACCGGAGAACCTGCCCTCAACTCCACTGCAGCTACTCCAGAGAGATGGGACCCTCCAGAAGAAACCTGCCAGCAATCCCAGCAAGCCTTCCCGCCAGAAGGGTAGGTGCACTTCAAGAAAACCTTCCCTGCTTCTTCTCCCAACAGGCAGATCCATGTG